GGCGACCTCCTGACCCGTCCTCAGCTGGAACACACGCAGCCGTACAAAGGGGTGTACACGGAACATGCACCAGGCGTCAGCGTTGTCCACGGCGGAAGCTGCGGGGAGGGGGAGGAGGTGTGGAGGGCGAGGGGAGGGGGAGGGGGAGGGGAGGGGGGGGAGGGCGAGGGGGGGGGGAAAGGGCAGGTGTGAAAAGTAGGTCGAGGAGGAGGGGAAGGGAGAGGAGCAGAGGAGGAGGAGGAGGGCAAACCCGGCAAAGTACTTGTTAAGAACATGTGCAGTCAGTGTGCTGCAGTGTGCTGATCAGCACAAATGACCACCTTGCACATCCCCCCCCCACCCACCCCCCAGGCGTCTGGCAGCTGGCGTCATGAGGATAAATGTTAATCCGAGTTCACTTTCCCCTTTTTTCGGTGCTCCCGCGGTGTTTCACCACCCATTCTCCCTTCACCCACCCGCCTACCTGGCGGGCGGGTCCCCCCCCCCCCACACACACATACGCATACACATACACACACACTCACTCACTCGCTCACCCATCCCGCACCTCCCCACCCGCTCACCCACCCGGGTCGGTTGGGTCCGTTAGGACGAGCTGCATCATCTCCCCGCTGCCCTCATCGATGTCAATCCGGTGTGTGGCGAATGCGGGGCCCCAACCGTTGTCCACAACCACCTCGTCCATGATGTCCGCGGGCGCCATCTCCACCACGACAGATGCCTCCGGCAGCGCTGCACCGCAGCGACCGCAGGTGCCGTACGTGCACGGGGGCCCCTCTGGTGTTGGCGACCAGCTACAACCGTTTTCGTTAAAGCCCTGCGTGTGTATGTGTGTGTTTTAGTATTTTGCCGAAGTTGAGAGCACGCATGTTTCGGTTTACATGCGTTTTGGCCCCCTTGAGATTCCCCGCAGGGGGGAAAAGGGGAAGAGGAATTGGATGGCAGTTTTGCAGTACAACGGGAGATGTGGAGGGCGGGGCGCGTGTCATTTGTGTATGCGTGCGTGTGTGTGTGTGTGTGTATGGGCCTGGGTGAGTTGGGAGTTAACGGCGACCGCATTCTAAAGGGGGGCCTTTGAAAGGGTTGGCCATCTGGCAAATCTGGATTTAGATGTGGCCTTGGGGAATTAGGGTCGATGACGGCAGCGGGGGCGACGGCGACGGCCGTGACGGGTACGGCAGCGGCGGCGAGCGACAGCGGACTTACTCTTCCTGAGTCCCGCATCTCCACGGCATGAAATACGTCCCTGCCCATCTTTGCGTTGACGGCGGTGGCCCGGGAACTAGCCCCTCGGCCGCCACCTGCCGCCGCCGCTGCCGCTGCGGCTGGCGGCGATGGCGGCGCCATCGCCCGCGGGTCGCGGCGCCGCGCCGCTCCGCCCACGGGCTCCCTGCAATACACACCCGACAACACAACAGCAGCACAACACACGCTCTTGATCCCGAGCGACCTCGGCGCTGCGTTCAGCACTATTATCATCACTAGCTGCGCGACAGGCACCACTGGCAGCAGCCAGGAACGGCCTAGACAGGTATCCGGTACATATTCCGCCGTATGTAATGTACGACACGTACGGCACTTGGTACACGATACCCACCCATGTCCGCAAACGAACAAACCTCCCGAGCCCATTCTTATGAAGAATATCCTTTTCTTCCTCTTTTTCCCCCCCCCCAAGAAAACGCGTTCACAGTACCCATATGATTTCGGAAAGTCAGTGCAGACCAAGAGGAAAAATGTTGTGCAGACCAAGAAACAAACAAATTTTCTCCAAGGCGGGCTGTCAGGCGGGCAGAAGAGGGGAAACCTGAGCACACCGAAGCACTTACAAGGACTCTCCGAGCGGCTGGCCCCGCCTGGCAGTTCCCGTCGAAGGACCCGTCGGAACTCGAGGGGGTCGCCCGCCACCATGACGGCCGCCGCCGCCGCCGCCGCCACCCGCAGCGGGTCCCGTATAAGCAGCAGCGTATGTGTTATGGCGGGGCCCGCCACCGCCACCGCCGCCGCCGCCGCCGCCGCCGCCACCACCGTGCGCTGGGCCGTGGAAGTTGTACGGCACCGGCATGTTGGTGTTATAGTGCATGTTGTAGTTCATTCCGGCGTTCGCAGGCGTCTGGTTGTAGCCGTTGACGGCGGCGCCGTTGATGGCGGCGCCGTAGGGCTGTACGGCAGCTCCGCCGCATCCAGCCGCGCCGCAGACGCCGCCACTGGCGAGGTTGTTTCCAGCGTAGATGCTTCCGTGACGAGAGGAATCCCGAATGACCTCCACAGTTGAGCCGTTCAACATGATTGTGTCCGTGTGACGAGCCTCAATATGGCGGACCTGTACGGACATGTACAGCAGGTGGAAAATCCCGTACGGCACTCACAACATGAAATGATTAACTTGGTGGAAGTAGACAATCTTATTCCGGGCCCCAAATTCCCATTCCCCCCATATGCTCTTTTCCCCCCAAATACACATACACACAATAACTATACACACACACTAGCTACGCACACACACACACACATACTCTCCCCCTCCATCTCTCTCCCCGCACTCGCGTCCCCCTCCGGCAGACGTCCTCCCAGATAGATCCCCTCCGAGGGATCCTCCCTCCCAGACCTCCATTCCATTATGTCGACCAGATCCGCAACCCACCGGCACTCGACGGTAGTGTTGGTGCATGCTGTCGCCGCCGCCGCCGCCGCCGCCGCCTGGATGGCCAGGGGGTGCTGGCGACATGATGTCCGGGGCTGGGCGCGGGGGCGGAGGAGCACCTGCGCCGCCAATGATGACCTCTCCCGCCGGTGATACCCCGGGCCGCGTGGCGATCGGGATCATGGCACAGTTCGTCTCGGAGCCGTACAGTACGGCATGGTGGGCCTGGCTGAAGCTCATGGCCATTGGCTGTCCCCAGGCGCCCATGCAGAGCCTGCCGCGGGAGGATGGGATTGGATTGGATGGGGTGGGGGGTAGCATGGGCTGGCTGCGTTAAGGCTTTGAGAGTGAGAGCATGGTTTGTGAGAGTGGGGTAAAGGTAGGGGGAGGGAACGGTGTTGGGTAAGAGTTGTGTGTGGGCAGCTCGGGGGCGAAGGGGCGACAGGGCGCGGCGGGGGCGACGGGGGGCGGGGATGAGGGGACGCACATGCGGAGACCGTACAAGTACGGGTGCGTCAGGTCTACTTGCGGGACTTAAAAGAACAGTAGTCCGTCGGTTGCTGGCCAACTATATTCACGTGGCCGCACTGTGGAACGGTGTTGGGGTTGTGGTGGGGTGTAACGTGGGGACGCAGCACTGTCGGGTGTGGACCGCTGACCCCCCCCGCGGATGAGGTGGTCGGAACAGAGACAGCAGTATGATGTGGGTAATCATATCGTTTCAGACACTTTCAGATGGTTAGTGTACCAGAAGGGAGACAACCTTGCCGGCTCGATTCGTCAGCCAAAGGGGCAGACAGGCATTCCAGCAGGCAGGCAGATACGCAAGCAGCAAAAACGGCAGGCGGGTAGGCAGGAAGGCAGGAAGGCAGGCAGACAGGCAGACAGACAGACAGACAGGCGGGGAAGCAGCTCCCCGTAGGGCCACACTGGCCCACAATATTTTAAATAATTTAAATGACACAAATGAGAAAACGTTAATTTATGTTGAGGGCTAAGGTGCGTAATCAAAAACACATATCGACATGCACACATATGTACTTACAGATGCACATACATACATGCAGAAATAAACGCACCTGTCCGGCTCCAGGGAGCATACGATAGCCAGGCCGAAGGAGCCCTTGGCGTGTTTAAGGAAGCGGCACGACGCTGTGTATAGATCGTTGGCCACAAAGTACGACAGCGTCGTACGGATGAGACGCTCCAGGGACGGTACGGTTGCGCGCCAGGCGGGCCAGCCGGGTGAGGTCTGTGTGTCGCGCGAGTGTGTGTGTGTGTGTTTGTTAATACTAATGTGTATATGTATGTCTATATGTATGTATGCATGTGTGTATTTATGCATGTATGCATGTTTTTTTAATGAATACTATAATTTTTGAAATATACAGTTCTCAAAACCCTAATTCTTTTGCTGGAAATTCCTTGCCACTCTTCCGCCCCTGCGATTTGCAAAATCCTTTGCACAGTTTTCAATAAAACGCCGGCAGTACTTCGTTATGTATGTATATCTCCAGGTGTGTATGTATATCTGTATATGTGTTTAGATTCATATTTGCTCATGTACTTGGGTACAAGTGTCGAGCGAGCGACGCAAAGCAGAAGCGGAGCAGACAAAAAATGGCACGCATCCACATGTACACACACGTACACACATACGTACATACATGAGTACATGAGTACATACGTACATACGTACAAACATACACACACGCCGGACCATGCACGCACCTGCAGGTGTTTGCGGGCTGCATCCGCCAATTGGAGGACCAGGGAGGAGCGAGCTGAACGGTTACCTGCCCAGCCCAGAGCGCAGGCCATATTGACAGCTTCCTGGCCGTACGACACTACGGTGTACGGCACCGCAGATTCGTGGCGAAGACAGCGAGAACGAGGAAACGGGGGGGGGGGGGGTCGGCGTGGCGAAGGAATGGTGGGAGCCGGGTATGGGGGGATAAGACAGGAGAAGAGAGAAAGGCAGAGGGCTCGGTGGGGGGAAGAAGGGGGGTATAGACATGGGCACTGGGTTTTTCGATGGCGGTTCGTCATTTGTACGGCCGCGGGCTGATGTACATTGATGCTGTTGAAGATATCGCACTTTCGATCAAAACCCCATCTCCACACCCACATCTCGCCCTCCCATTCCACCAGCTATTATGCAGTACGGTAGTAGCTAAAATACCACCAGGTACGACACCGTAACATCCGTACTGGACTTCAGCACGTAAACCCAATTACTGACCTTCTACTCAGGCTTACTGTTTTGTTGCCCTCCCCTACCCTTCCCTCCCCATTGGACGTCACCACAAAAATGGTTTAAAGGCAGGTTGTGTGATACACCTTTTACCAAACTTGTCAAAAAATCATTTACTTCCTCTGAATGGCCCTTCTGCCAGGGTAGGGTAGCGCAGGGTAGGGTAGGCCCTAGGTGCCAGATCCAGTGCCCTACAATACCTGGAATATCCGGGCGCCCAGCTTGGCCATGTGCTGCTGCAGCAGGAGCCGATCCATTACCGGCATGAGCGCCTGTAGCCGCAGTAGCGTGGATACCCTTGGTCGGTATGTCGTACGCATGCGCCGTACCGCGATCCTTGCCGGTCACCGGTCCTCCGAAACCGTTGTTATGTACGTGACCGGCAGACTGGTCCTTGTACTGCGTCGGATGTACGGATTGACCCGTCGAAATACCCGACACCATTCCGGAACGATGTCGAACGTCGAGCGAGCCGCGCTGTACGTGTATTTCGGGAGGCAGCGCGACGCCGCCAGCATGGGCGACATGGCCGATATGGGCCATATGTCCCATATGGCCTGCGTCGCCATGCATGCTTCCATGACCACTGCCGTACACGCTTCCGTATACACTATGCCCATGGTGCTCATGAGCAGCACGCTGTACGACAGCCCGCATCGTCGCCGCCAGCACGGCGCCCGCCAGCGAACGCTCGCCGTCTGCCACCAGCCCATCAAAGCTCGGCCGGCGTTCGCGCAGGAACGCCGCTGTACCCTCGCCGTCGTCCTCGCCGTCGGCGCCGTTGCCATTGCCGTCGTCACCTTGGCCGCCTCCCCCTCCCGCCGCCGTCGCATCCTCCGTCGCCAACACATTAGGGCGGCCGCCGCCAATGCCGCCACTCACTCCAAAGCCAACCAGCCCCCGACCTCCGCCATTCATCGCACCCTCCTTATAAATCTCGCCAGCACCCCCGTCAACCGTGCCGCCGCCTCGGACACCGTGTACGACATGGCCCGTGCCGTACAAGCTACCGTTCCCGGCAACTGCGTTGCCGTGATGGTGGTGTGCGGTGTGAGCGCCGCCTTTGCTCGGGATGCCGCCGCCGCCGCCGCCGCCGACCAAGGTGACGTCATCATCATGCAGTTGTGGCAGGACCAGCGTGGCTGGGTCGTCAGGCTCGATGTTGGCGATCAGGCGCGCAAACGCCACCTCCAGCGCGGCCGCCAGCGCCTGGAGCTCTGCTCGGGTCGCCACGCGGTGGCTGCGGCCGCCCTCGGCGTCGGCGTTGCGCGCACCAGCTCCAGCCCCTCCTGCGGCAGCGCAGCGGAGGGAAGTAAATGGCTGCGGCCGCCTCGAGAACCACTAGCCGTAGACCCGTAATGCGCGCGCGCTCCTTTCGGGTCGCCTGGCCGCGGCCCGAGTGTGCTTGTGCTTGTGTGTGTGTGTGTGTGTGTGTGTGTGTGTGTATTCTTTTGTTGTTACAGAGTGGGAGGCTTCTGGGCCACTTTAACATGTGTAAAGGGCCCGGTAAGGCTATCGTGCCAAGTTCGATGGCTGGGATGAAAGCCAGGTGCGTGAGATGTGTACGACAGGCCATACCATGGGCCATATCGGTTTCTGGTTCATCAGTGCAGCGGCATCCTCTGCCGCTTACGACCTGCCATGTTACAATCTGTAATCAATCTGTAATCAATCTGTAATCAACCTGTAATCAATCTGTAATCAATCTGTAATCAATCTGTAATCAATCTGTAATCAATCTGTAATCAATCTGTAATAAATCTGTAATAAATCTGTAATAAATCTGTAATCAATCTGTAATCAATCCTTAATCAATCTGTAATCAATCTGTAATCAATCCTTAATCAATCTGTAATCAATCTGTAATCAATCCTTAATCAATCTGTAATCAATCTGTAATCAATCTGTAATCAATCTGTAATCAGTCGCGTTCAGCCTAGGGTTTACCCCCCCCCGTAGTCAAGGGAGTTGAAGGAGGAGGAGAAGGGAGATTGGGCATAAGAGGGAGGAAGAAAAAGAGGAGGAGGAAGTGAACGGTGCAGGATCAGGTGCAGGATCAGGTGCAGGATCAGGTGCACGTGTCCCCGCGACTGCCTGGGGCAGTGTCCACTCACCCTGCTTCGAGGCGTTGGACGGTTCGGCCGACGCCACGACATCCGCAAAGGTGCACGACACTGCGGTGTCGTAGTAGGCCAACCTTAGGGAAGGGTACCACAGGCCCTGCGAACAGCGAGGTGTTGTACCGGGGCATGCACACCGGGGCCACACACCGGCAGGAAACGACCCATGGGTCAAAGCTCTTATCGCTCTTACCTCTCCTACCACGCTTGTGCCACTCAAAGCATATACAAAGAAGTAAAAAGCCGAGCGGCGGACTCCAGGTAACGCAAGACGATGTGGCAAAGGGTGTGTAGGAGTAGGCATAGGAGAGCCGCTGTACGGCATTAGCACTATGTGCACTATGTCTCATGATGATCAAATCAACCAGCATGGCTGCTTCCGAACGGACAGGAAAGGATTGCCGTATATACGTTTCAACATGTGTGCCGGTCGTTACAGTTGCCGGTCGTTACAGCATGTCGTACCTGCGTGCGCAGCAGCTCAATCATGCCTGCCACACGGACGCTGTCACACTTTGCTGGGCTGGGCGTGCCCAGTGCGGCCGTCAAGAAGGCGGCGACCTCGTGGTGGGTGCGGTCCTGCCCCATCAGCTTCCAAAAATCAAAGTCGCCTGTTGGTAGCACAATGGCGAAGATGGAGGCGCGGCAGTGGCGGTTCAGATGGCGGCGAAGGTGGCGGCGAAGGCAATAAAAATGGTGGTGATAATGGTGGCTCACAAGCCAATGGGATATGATTGATCGATGCAGAGGCTTGTGTAAATTTAGAAGTATATGCATGGCATCTGCTGCGCCAAGTAGTTAGTTAGTTAGTTAGGTAGGTAGGTAGGTAGGTAGGTAGGTTCGGTGGGTGAGTTGGGTTTTGGCCGATACACAACCGCGTTCACCCAACCGTCCGCATCCATATCGAGGGTCAAAAATAGCAGGTAGGCGCATTGCTATGGCATACCAGTCTGGGTAGTTCAACCAGTTCGACAATTAGTCTTTCTTGTGGGTTTTTTATCTTTATGTACTCTATCGATCGCGGACAGCCCTAGGCCCCCTGGCCCTTGGCCCTCCGGCTCGTATGGCCCCCCCCCCTAGCTAGGTTACACCTTTGGAGGGCAACGAAACTCCAGGAGGTGTAACACATACACATACATACATACAGATATACAGATATTGACTACTCAATGACAACTGTCCGTCCCCAAAGCTTACACCTGGCCCTACCAGCCGGCGCTAACGTCTACCAACCCATAGGAACACGAGGAATGTTCTTCCGGATCCTAATACAGCCGGACGTGGCCACCCATATCTCAAGCCCTCCACATCCCCACCGTTATGTGTGATCCAAACTCCGAACTTCTCGTCAGCTGCCTCCAGCCGTCCGGTTGTCGGATGGGTGCGCCAGACGGAGGTGTTGAAGGGCGGCGTCCATTGATGTGGATGAGACTCCCCTTCCGACGGCTGAGAAGAGGTGGCGAAGCGGGTGTGGCCTGAGTCATGGAGAGCGACGGGTTGCGGTTCAGGGAGGGGAGGAAGGGAGGGAGGGAGGGAGGGAGGGAGAATGGAGGCAGCTGACGAGAAGTTCGGCGATGTGTGTATGTGTGTGTGTGTTACCCCCACCCACCCCCCCTGGTTGCGGTACCCAAGGAGGTGTAACGAGTGTCCATACACGAGTTCCCAGGTAGAGGCCCAAGAGCCCAACAGCCACAAGTTAGGTTTCGGGACATAGTACAACGCAAAAAACTTCTAGTACCCAAGCAATATGCACACACAAGAGAAACAAGTCAACACTAGTCAGCTATGACCGCATGTGTAGAGACGAGCGCGTAAGCCACATGCTATATGGGTACCAGGTGGGAAACAGTTTTGTTTTTTTGCTCGCTGTCCCATCACGATCGACTTCATATCAGAATCGTGGCTGAGAGGATTACACCCAAGGCGCACACGACATGCACAAGAAAAAGCTGGGCGTTCTAGAAGAAGAACATGACGCTCATCTTCCTTCCACCTAGTGCAGCGCGCGCACAATACTAGATCCTCTGCTCCCGGGGCTTTCCAGCACGGGGGGCACAATTTTCTCGCCGCTACGGGCCAACAGCACGTTCGAAACGCCATCAAAGATCGGTGCACATCTGCCGCGGGATAAGCTCACACGCATATATCCGAAAGCCAGCCAGGCGGCCCCGTCGATGTTCCGCGAACGGCACACCCATTCAGTGTGCGTATTTCGCCATATCATGGGCCCCCGGGTAACCATCATAGCGCATCCGACGGGAAATCCGAGGATGATGGACCCCTGCTCAGCTCAGCCTGGGGTGAGAGCCCATGCAGCCATAAGCTGCCGCCTAATCTCGGAGAAGACTGGACCCTACGGTATTGGATGCGTGCGTTTTCGCACAAAATGTTTTACGAACTCGCCTACGAAGATGCCGTGCCCGCCCGCCAATCGCGGCGCGCGGCCCAGCGCCCGGCCGAAGCGGCGATGCAGCTCCACTGACAGGTGGTCACGCTTGCCGGGCGCGCAGCGGCTGCGGATGCCGTCGATGGCTGCTCGCTTCTTACCGCCGCCGCCTCGGCCGCCGTCGCCCGGAGACGACTCTACTAACGTCACCAGGCCACCCGACTGGGCTCCTCGTTGCGAAGAAATGGCAACCTGTGAGTGCGCGCGTATGTATGTGTGTACGCGTGAGCGTGCGTGTTTCAAGTAGGGGGTGAATGGGGGTTCGGGAAGGGGGTTGGGGGGTTAGGGGGGTAAACACAGTGGGGGAAAATCTGGAAGGAACAGCCGAAGGGGGAAGCTCGGAAGGTTTCGTACCTGGGAACGCAACACGGACATCATATCCACGGCGCTTCCCGCCGCTGCCGCGACCAGCAGGCCGATATTGCCACAGAAGAAGCATACCAGCATCGCCGGCGTGACGCCACCGCCATGGTGGTTATTGTTGGTACGGCAGATCCGTTTCTCGTACACAGCGGCGGTGGCGGAAGCCGTCTCCGCCGACGCGGGTTCCAGTCCTAGTAGATCGGAGGCCACGGCGCCGAGGAGGACGATCAAGCTTGCAGCTGTGGCGCCGTACAGGGCCGCTGACGCCGCTGCATCCCCAATTGCCGTACTAGCTGAGGCTGCGGGCACTGGCCCCGACAAAGTCATTGGTGCAACGGTGGCAGCCGTGTAGCAGGCCAGAAGAGCAAGAAGCGCGCTCGCAATCCAGCCACTTTGGCGAGCTGCGGCGACGCGCCAGCGGAGTTGCGGTAGGCTGTCAGGCAAGCGCAGCGCAACGCAGGGCGCGCCGGCGGCGGCGGCGGGCGTTTTGCAGCTACCAAAGAGCAGGTAAGCTGGCAGGTAGGCTGCATTTGTGGCCGTCCAACTCAGGATGCCTGAAACGCATGGGGTAAGCGTGCACGTGGCACATGTGAGTAGTATGTGGCAGAGAAACCAAACCGGAAAGTTGCGCGGTCAGAATTCGACGCGTTCTGACCTTTTAAAACGACAAACGCATCGCAGTTAGAAATATTATGATATTGATGACACAAAATTCTGAGCGCCTACGTCGACTGACGTGTTTGCACTTTTCTGATGAGCCATTACGATCGGGGTGCCCCTTAGTCAGTGTCCCTAAGTGACCGAATTCGAAGCAGCAGTAAGGAGAAAACGCTAACCTGAGGCCGATGAAATTACACTGGCGACATCTGGATAGAGCGCCAGGGCCCACGCCGCTGCGACGTGTGCAAGCTCATGCCATGCCAACGCACAAGATGTACCAGCGACGAACCCAGCAGCTCCAAAGCAAAAAAATTGGGCCGTATGCATGATATGTGCCATGATCATTTCACCGTTCAGAATGCTGGCCGCGGCAACCGGTTGTGACAGTTGTAGCACAAGGCTTGCACACTGTCCCATGATTGCCGCCACCACACGCAGGGATGGTCTGATTACCCTTGTAGGAAATTACGAAATGCTCTGCGACGAAGTTATTACAGAAAGGGGATGCCAATCGTCAGCAGAGACAGTGTCGAGTTGGCGATGATGAAAAGCATGGATACAGGAATTACAAAAAACATAATGAGAAGATATAACGATTCAGAAAGCTTAAGCAAACTGATAAGGAGTAAGGGTTTGTTTTTGTGCAAGAAAGACAGAAGCGGCCGCCTGCTGTCCCTGCATAGCGCAAAATCGCAACTTTTTGCTCAAAGGAGGTCATCAGAAGCGACTCGCATTGCAGGGTCACAGATGACATGTTTTATATTTTGTATAAGCAGGTTCATGCAGGTTGTAATGTACCAGGCCAACAACTGCACGCACGTGTCAGTTTCCTCAGGGCCCAGACGGCGGACAGAGATGCAAATAGCAGAAACTGGTCGTTTGGTCGCAGTTTAGCTCTCCCTCAGGGTCCACATGGTATCAGCGGACACTACCGGATATATTCACGTGGACGTCGACGAGCGAGTCGCCAACCGACTTCCAATATTCCTACTCACCCACAAAAAAGCCTCCAAGCCGAGCTTGCACGCCTCAACAAAACTTGCCGGAATTGTCCTAAATGATGCCAGGGTCTAAGGCCTATGGGCCGCAGCCGCTCTAACGGCCGTCGAAGCCCCCGAAACTAGGCGCGAAACTGGCGCCTTAATGGCTGCTCTTCAATAAGAGAGCCAGGAAAGGTTTTGAATTACTATAAAGATTATTATTTAACATTTTGTGTGGTCATTGGGTGCCTTTAAAGGGAACGGGCGCGGCGCCGTACAGTTTGCAGACAGTGAAAATCGGGCACATTATGTCATCCCACTTCTGCTGCCGATATCGGTACAATGGAAGCAACAGTTGTCACAGCCGCAACCCCACGTGATTTGTCGCGTTTATCGCCCGTGTACCCGGCTACAGCTCGTCCCCAGGCTTTCAGACCCTAGGCTAGGCCCATGATGACGCGAGCAGAAGCACGAGAAATTGATGATAGCGTGCATTCTGCGATTGCATACCATCAAAGTTCGCATAGTGTGACCTTCATCGTGCACAATTCCGATGCTAGGGTTTCCAGCTGGTGTTCCAGCCGGCTAGTGCCCTGTCGGAACGCGAATTGTCAACAAACCCAATTATATGACTCCCGTGTTCATGTAGGGTAAGGAAACGCTTTCAATAGGGCCTCCACAGTGGTTGCAAGTAACATCCGTTACGTCGGCTTGATGTGTGCCGCTGCTAGCCTGCTTCCTTCCTTTGTTTTTCCAAAGTATGACTTGGGCTGAAGAATGTTTTGCAGGCTGGAGAAGCGCATGAGGTGTGGAGAAGTCCAGGAATGAGCTTCAGTAACACAAATAACTGTAGGGCTTGGGACTCGGACCCCTGACCTCCAATCCAGGTGGCATTAGATCATACAGAAAAATTAAAAATAATTTGTAATTTAGGCTTGCAATAGAGTTTCCAACTTTTACGTCGTCTGAACCCTGCAGGACCTAGGGACCGCAGACCACACGACCTTGTATACTTGTAAAACACCAAGTCCGTCGCGTAATCAATGTGCTTGATTTGTTAGCATACACCTTAAACCGCAGAAAGGCGCTAAGACCGCAAGCTTTCCCGCGAGCTTCCATGAAACGGACTCTGTTACGAGAGTACGGCTGACAGACTAGGAAAGGACAAGCGGCCTTTCGACTCTCCTTGCGGATAGAGTACATTAACAAGATCTATCAGTATATCGGGGTCAAATGTTTTCTCGAATCAAAGGAAGGATCTGCATGGGCGTTTCACGCGTGTAAGTGCTCTTCAGGTCCTTGGATCAATGTTTACGTTTTTCATTCTCATGACACGTCATTACGATTTCCTTGGCAAAATCATTTGGGTTCCGCAAGTCGACGTTACATATTTGCCGGCATATTCTCTTTGCTTCTTGATGCGATGGGCAAGGCCCTAATAGATTCTATGTTCAAGACATAAAATTTTCGGGTGAAGGCTCCCAAAGGATGCGAACATCTTAAAAGCGAGTTCCTGTCTTATGGCGAAACAATCTGCCAGTACCAGTATGCCCTGGAACGGGAAAGCTAGCCATAATTGCTTTTCGCTCTTGTCTGAGATCACATTGCGCCATCTTTTGAGGACTCGGAGCCACGCGTCAAGTGCCGGGCGGGCGCTGTGGCCGGGCGGGCGCTGTCATCCGGGCGGGCGTCCGAGTCAAATGCTGAATGCATTCCCGCATAATAAAAGCTCCCAGCTCGGCGTCGCTGCCCTATTCTTTCTTCAGTAAGCGTGTAACTGGATGCCTCGGGCCAAATGGTCGGAGTTTCTTACAGCCCAAGTTCTCCCAGCCCAAGTTCTCCAGCAAGTTCTCCAGCTGTTGTCCTACTTTCGCCCAAACGCAACGTTAACGTATAAGTACGCACCGCATACAAGAGCGATGGGTGATCAAATTACCGCAGATGCTGTGAAAGCATCTTAAGGCAAATATCGGCTCCCATCGGCGCGAAGTGCGAAGCTGGGTGGTTGGCGGCCGCAGCGCATTCCAGCCATCTAGAGAAGCTACCCTAGTCGGCGACCCCAACGCGCTCTCCTGCCATCTACGCTCCTTCCACCTTCGCTGGCACTTCCTAACACCCCCTCCTGCTGTGTACGTTTATTTATTTTGTACTGCGAGCTGAAGCCTGTGCAACTGGAAGTGAAAGCGTCAACGGCATCATCATGAACAAGGATGATGCAAGCTGTTTTCGGTCATTTCAAGCACGATGCCTCCTTTTAAACTCTTTTTCCATCGCGCGTAGCGGTTACAGGATTGACAGATGTCGCCACTTTGCGCGCGATTGAGAGAGCAACTGATTGTTATGTAAGGTAGAAGCGCACAGATAACCGACTTTTTCAAGGTACGGCACATAAGCAGGACAAGAACATTAGCTACTGATTGCTGATAGATGTAAGATTCGGCCGTGCCTCAGCAATCATTATTTGCACAAACTCCCATGCGTGAAAGTCGTTAACGTCTGCTAGCTGGCGGCGCCTGGGAGCCGTCAGGGCTTGCTCATCTTCGATGTGTGTGCATGAGGATACACACAGCAACAGTCCTTCGCGGTCCTTTGCAGGATTATTTCTTCTATGACTGCTTTCTTCACACTTCTAGGGGCTTCGCTGCATGGTCCTGCTGGAACGAGAACCCGCCAGCCCAGATCGAGGCATATAAAGCCAGAGGCAACTCCTCCCAAGGCGAGCTTCCCTTTAACTCTGCCCGCCACCGCCACCGCCAACCCCACCGCTGTTACAACGAGATATGATATGGGGTATAACAGCAGCTGCTTCTTGCAGCTATAAGGAGAGCGGGAACCCAGCAGCGCTCCATGCAGGAAATCGCTGCCTTACCTGTGTGGTGCCCACCTAGCGTCGGAATACAAGGACCCGAAAGAGAGCCACAAAAGGTGAATGAAATAGACGTAAATGAATACTTCCCTTCTAGCAGCGGCGGCGCGCGAGAACGGACGTCCAGCCAAGCTGTGGGGTTGCCGCACAGCTTGGCAACCCGCACAGCTTGGTGGTTATCGCACGACCAACATTTTGTTTATAGCGCAGTGCACGGCCAGTGCCTGGCCCGCTGGCTCTACTCTTCGTGAGTCTGGAGCCCACTGTAACAACCAAACACACACACACACACACACGCCCTCCCAGGCAGGCTCCATTGAAACGTACGACTGGATACATGCAATAATTTGCTTACAGGTGCTGTTAGGATCAAGAAAGGCTAGGTAGCACTACGTCAGCAGAAGCCCACTGTAACAACCACACACACACACACACACACACATTCTGTTCATGTATTGCGAGCTGGCAGAGCTCGATTGTAGCCAATATGAGTTATACTCGCTGCGCCCAAACTGCGACATCACTTTACCGCCAGGAGGTGGAGGCCCTCTCCCCAGCAGGTTCCGGGGTGCGGGTATTGCAAATAAGGTACTCATGCGTCATGTCCTGGTGAGGAACTAGATGGTGGTAAAAAAATAAAATCGGATGTCAAGAATTGGCGGGAAAGCAGTGCAGCTTGTCGGCGCGAATCTGGTGTAACAACGACATAATGGAGGAGAGGAAGGGGACCCCGCACGTACATACAAACAAACAGGACATGTGTAATCAAACACAAAACAGACACAAATATGTTACGCATATAGCATTACATACATACAGAAGGCACGCCGGTCCACAAGGCACTGGTCATTCCCACATACGTACATACATACATACACATGTACATGTGCATGTAACGCTTACGCTAATATCACTCCTGCAATCCTGTTTTAAAAAACCTACCTCCATAAAGCGCAACCCTAGTTCACCACTGCAGTGCCTCACACCAGGTTGACAGTCTGTCTGTGTGTCTGTCTATCCTTAGTTCACCACTACTGTGTACCACTACCACCTCCAGCAAAACACACATCCCATGCGGCCACCTTCGCGACCTGTCGGGGGTATTTATGTATGTCTGTCGCCCACTTGGAAATGTAACCCCCCGCCTTCCGCCGCCTTCCTTTCCTCTCATGCAGTACCCCCACATGAACAACCAACAACAGCAACAACAACAGCAGTAGCAAAAAACAGTTGAGAAAACAATAAAAAAAGCAGTAACACTGAAAATTATACACACCAACAGGCTTTAGCAATATACCCAATAACCACCACAACTACCACCACCATCGCTACCGCCACCGCCACCACCACCACCACCACCACCACCACCACCACCACCACCACCACCATCATCACCATGACCATCGCCACCACAATCACAACCACAATCGCCACCATCATGAAGGCCCAAAAGAGAAAAAGAAACCACGAAATCACCACAATCAGATCACTTCGTTATCGAAACCGTTATCGTTAACTAACACCAAACGCGCGCAAACGGGAGAAAATCCCCAACCTGCTGTCGGACCGCAACTCGCCACACTCTTTCCTCCCCACTTCTTAACCCCCCGGCAACCGCCTTGGAGATCGTCACAGCTCTCCCCCTCCCTCCTCTCCCTCTCCCCTCCTCCTCTCCCTCTCTCTCCCTCCTCTCCCTCTCCCCCCTCCTCTCCCCCCCTCCGTTCTCTCTCCCTCCCCAATCCTCCGTTCCAACACCGTCCAGAAGACCGCCTAAAGGCCCAGCTCCCTCCCTCCCCTGAGACCTGCGGACATCCGCCAAGGTACCCGACAACCCCAAAACACAACCACTGGTTGTGGCTTAGGTGTGTACCTAAGCCACATCCACACCAAAAACACACTCACGCCGACGACGCGGCGGCGGCAACCGCAACAGCCGTCGTGACCTGATAGTCGTACAGCCCGAAAGTCCGTGGTAAGGCCAACGCAACCAGCACCACCGGCACCAGCAGCGCTATCCCCAGCATCGTAATTGCCGTCACCACGTCAGCACCATGGCCGTACTGCGAGGCGATGACGAATGACGTACTCGCCTGTGTGACGTACGGGTGCATGACGTGGCGTGGGTAGTGGGTGAGGTGTGCGTTGCGTCATACAAGTGGATCAAACGGAGACATAACGGAGTTCAGGAAGTTGGGGGTTGAAGTAGTTATTAACTGAATGGACCAAGTAATAATAACCAGATGGTTGACAGTTGGTAGTTGGTGCTTGAAACGGCTGCGAGTCGAGCTGAACGTGAAAGCGGATGCATGATGACCAGTGCGGGTCTTTTCGGGTACCGGTGGCGGGGCAGGAAAGGTGAGAGGTGTTTGTGTAGGAATGGACGTGTGTGTTTTGCCGTACATAACGTTCTCGCCTACCACGGGACATAACGCCAGCAGCAGCAGGCTCATAGCGGCGGCCGCCTCCATACCACACGCCGCGGCACATGCGAGCTGCATAGGGCCCAACACCACCAGCTTCACCAGCAGGAGGCCTCCAGCCTGCGCAGTGGGTGGAGTGGAGATGACGAGGCAGAGGGTAGGGGGAAGAGACGAACCATTGGCGAATGGAGCAGATACCAAAGACGGGTAGTGGAGGGGGGCGGTGGAGAAAATCACCTGTCAAGTCAAGGAAGAGGGCCCCGGGGGGAAGGGACGGGGAGGGGAGGGGAGGGGGAGGGCACATTTGTTTGGACGTGTTGATGACACCGGGGAGTGGGGGAGGACAGCTACGAGCCCCGCCAGGCGAATGGCAGGAGCGGGAATGGGCGGAGAGAGAAGCGGTGCGCGCGCGCGAGAGAGTGTGTGTGTGTGTACATACGTGCGCGTATATCTGTGTACGACCCGGCTATCCCTTTTCGCTACCCCATATCTAAACACATACATACATACATACACGAACACACGCACCTGCATCAACGTTGCTCGTCCAAATGTCTTGCCGTACAGCCACACCCCGTTACTGAACAGGCTGACCGGCACGGTAATCCCCGACGTCCAGGACAGCGCCCCCGCCACCCAGCCTAGCTCCGGGCGGTAGTGGGGGCTTCCCGGCCACAGCACGGAGCGAAGTCCGGATAGGTTGATGAGGAGGGCGACTAGGAGGGACCAGAGGAGGGGGTTCTGGACGGCGGGGTGGCCAGGGGGAGACGGGGGGGAGACGGGGGGGAGGGGAAGACGAACCACGTGACGAGTGAAGCTGATGCCAAGGAACGACTGATGCGCCACAAGTAAAGGCGGCATACCTAACCAGTCGGGGCTCGTGAAGAAGAAGTCCAGTCGCGATGATGTTAGCAGTAGTCATTACGATAGCGGAAAACTACCTACCTAGCCGCCAAGAATAAAGTGCGGAAAAAGAGCAGGAAAACCACCCAGGGAGGAAAGAAGAACCAGGAACCACGAACCCCATCCGGAGGGGGGGAGGGAGGGGGACATCATATATGCGCCAGAAAGTGGGCGAGAAGTGAACTGCTGCTGCCGGTGGGGGAATGTCCCAGGAGGTCAGAAACTGTGCTGCTGCTGCTGCTGCTGCTGGAGTGCAGCGCAGTGGAGGTCACCGACCCGTGGTTCCGGAAGTAAAGCCCCATCAATGCGTTACCGACATTACCCCGGGGGGGGGGAACCAGGGGGAAGTGGGACTCGTGGACTGTTTTTTTCCTGGTGTTGGTGTTGGTGGTGGTAGTGGGTTGTGTGTATATGTGTATGTATCTCTATGTGCGGTGATGTAAAAGGTGTGTGTGTGTGTGTTTTACGTGGTCGTGGTCGTGGGGGTGCGTTCCCCGTACCTGCGAACCACCCTAATACGAGCCGAGGGCGCAAGGGCTGGCAGATCGCCTATACGCACCATCCTAACTCGCACACACTTCAGGAAAAGCAAGTGATAAAGGAAGCTAGCGACCAAAGGGAATGATATGGAGTTGCGGTGGGAACATATACGTTCCAGCATCTTTGCCAGACGTTTCGGATTCATGTGGAATGGCGCGGAGGCGCAAAGGGTCAGCTGACGACGGCCCCGGCAACGAGAGCAGAGGGGGGGAAGGGTGTCGCGGGGTTGGGACGTTAGTCGAATACTTTGTCGTACTCTGCCGTACCTTGAGGATGACCCAGGTAATGGACCATGCCCGACTGTACGACGCCAGTCGCATCTTGCACCAGCGACCCAGCGCGGGGATGATGCCCCCGTGCCGGCGGGTCATGCTGCCGGCGGCAGCACGCACGAGTGCGCGACCCGGGAGCGGCGGCGGCGGCGCCGCCGCCGCGGCTGCATCCTCAGCTGCCGGCGGCGGCAGCGGCCCTGGTCCTGCCGGCGCCGCCGCCGATACGGGCCGTGCTAAAGACATGGACACAGTCGCCGACGACGACGGCGCCGCCGCCGCCACCGGGGGAACGCGCCCAGCGGACGGTCTCGTACTGCCATCCTCGCAGCCATTGGCGGCGCCGCCACCGTTACCGACGAGGACCACGTTGTCGTACGTTGTACGACATGGCTTACTGCCGTTGAGACTGGCGCGCGCGTCAGGCCGTGCCACAACCGTGAGAGCTGCGGCAACGTGTGGTCGCGCGCGTGTGTGTATTTAGGGAGGAGGGGAGGGGAGAGGAGACGGGAGTAAACGCCTGCCCCCATCGGGAGTTTGGGGCAAACTGTTGGCAGTTGGCACAAGTTGGCAGTTGGCAGTAGTAGTTGTAACACATGATAGGACGAGACGGAGTGAGCGAGCGCGGAAAAGCTGCACGAAGGTGTCGTACCTACTATTTCCCCAGCTTCTCTATACACACAACACGCAATCACGTACACAAACACATTTTGATGTGTGGGATGGATTACCCGTACATAGCCGTACAACTTCATGCCCCGCCCTTTGCTTGCATGTCCTCTTTCAATTTCATACCTGTGCCCCCTTCCCCCCTTTTCCCCCCCTGCTGGACCCCACCTGAGCTCGTCATCCTCGCAAGACTGATGGCCTTACAGACAGATATATCGACAGACGGACAGGACGACGCAACCGAAACCAAAGCGCATTTCACAGGGGGCCACGGCGCCGTGTGTCGTGCGCCGTAGTAGCGGCAGTAGCGGCAGTGGAAGCAGTAGCAGTACCAGCAGTAATGCCGCAGCAGCAGCAGGAGGGAAAGGGAAAAAAGAAAGGGAGGGATGGGGGTTATCATGAAGCAAGGAATATTACATGGACTGTAGAGGAGCTGAGCAGGGGGTTCGGAGGTGCGTGTGGGAAAGGGGGAGAGAGTTCTCCCGACAACAAACAATAGACTCGCCTTTAGTTAAGGTGAGTGACAGTCAATTGATTCGGGTCAGGCCCGGATCCATTTGCCGTACCTGCGGTACAGGCAAATCTGGGCAAGCCACTGCCACCGGGCTCAACAGCCGATTCGACAGCGGCGGCGACGGCTCCGCCGGCGGGGCCAGCGGCGGTGGCGCGGCGCCGTCGAGATCCGACGCCGGCGGCCAGTGCGCCGGCAGCGACTGCCGCTGGATGGCCGCCGAAGCACCGACAACGTTTTTAGGCACGGCAGCAGGCCCATGACCCGTGGGTCGTCCGTCGAGAGCTCCAAAACCCCCAATCGTTGGCGCCGTCGCAGCCGACCCGCAACAATAATCTGCTGAAGCACGACCGTCGGGCAGGAGCCCGGCGGCGGCGCGGCACCGCCGCGACCGACTACTGTCGCCGGCGATTGGGACGGCAATGGCGGCGGCGGCGGCGGTGGCTGGGCCAGTCATAGCGGCGGTGGATGTTGACGGAAAAGCCACTAATGGCGATGTCGTCACTGATGTGCACAAAGGACCGGAAATAAACGCCGACGGGGGCGGCGGCGGTGGCGGCGGCGCCGGGGACGGCGTCTCCATCAAGGAGGCAGATGATTCGGTGGCGGCGGCGGCGGCGGCAGCGGCGCGGTGAGTACGGCAGACGAATGGGGAGGCAGAAGTCATCGCAGGACTGTCGACAGCGCCACTGTCGGCAGACGGGGAGATGATAATCGATGGAGCCCCGATGTCCAAGTGCTTCGCGTGTGTTATAGCCGAAACATCAACGGCGGCGGCGGCGGCGGCCGAGCAAGCCGAGTCCATAGGGGACTTCCCGTACTCCTTGCGCGTGCCCCCTAGGAGTCCAGTGTTGACGCCGCTGGCGGCGACGGTGCCGCCACCGCCGCCACCTCCAATACCACTGGGGCAAGGCGCGCTGGCGGCACGGTCCAAGCTCGCCAGCGACACTGGCCCAGGGGTCGGCATCAGCACCGCCGCCAGCGGCGGCGGCGCCGCCGGCTGCCTGCCGCCTGCGTCGGCCCGCCGTCGCGTGCTTGCCTCCCGACTTGGCGTTGGGGTGTCTAGCGGTGTTGAACCCGGGGCCCAGCCGTGCCCAATGGTTCCGACCACGACACCGCTGCCGACGCGGCGGCGACCCAGACGGCCACGGAGCAACCGTGTCGCGTGCCCGCCACCGCCGCCGCTGACGATGCTGCCTGCCGTGCTACCACCGGCGCCGCTGCTTTTGCTGCTGTCTCGTCGGTGGCGCGCGCGGCCGCCGGGGCCTCTGCCAGCGGCGGCAGCGGCGTCGGCGGCCCGCGGCGTCGGCGGCTCCGCCCCGCTGCTACTGCCACTTTCGCCGCCGCCGCCGTCGTTGTAGGCCTCCATAGCACCGCCGCCGCCGCCGCCGTCGCCACAGCGGGGCTCCTCGGCCACCCATCGACCCGATAGCTCACGGTCCGGAGTGGACGGCGGCTCCGAAACCGTATCGGCGGCGGCGGCGCGGCGGCGGTGGTCTTCCACCATCCACTTCTCCACCTCGAACGCGGTTATGCTGAAGGGTATGACCTGCAGGAACAGCACGAAGGCTGCGGGGCGGTGTGTGTGTATGTATGTTTGTGTGTTTCGGAGGAAAAAGGGCGGGGGGAGGCAGGAGAAAGTGTGGCAAGTGGACACACACGGGTGAATGTATGTATGTATGCATGTATTTAGATGTGTGTGAACTCCTGCGGTCCGGGCAGTTGATGCTTTGCATGCCGACAGTTGACCCTTTACTTCCAGCATCAATGTACGACTCCCCTGTCTCCCCCCCTGCCCTACCTGTCAGCAGCGATAGTCGGCCGCCCATGCGGGGGAATGTGGCCTCCATCACCGGCAGACCCACAATGACGGTGTTGTTGGCCTTCGCGGGAGGTGTGCGTACGTGCATATGTATGTGTGTATGTATGTGCGTGCAAGGGGGAGGGGGAAAAGGGCGGAAAGGTGGAGACAGGCAGATGGCCGGCAGTAGCGAAACACAATAGACATTCAAATACAGCAGCTGTGGCGTTAGCAGTAGCGACAGGAGCAGTAGCATTATAAGAAGCAGCAGGATAGGTAGGCGAGCAAAGAAGACCTGCGGCTTCCGTACCAACACGCCACAATCCGATTTCGCGCAGCATGGGTTTCATCCCCCTATCTTCCCCTCCACCTCCGCTCCCTCCTCTGTGCCTTGGCGTCCCCCCTGTCGTCCCCTGTAACTTACTAAAACCCTAAAACCCTTAACCTCCCCCCCCTCCCGCACTCCTAAAACCCCATCCTCCCACTCCCCCATTTTCCCCCGACCCACCGTCAGGACCAAGTTCAGCAATCCCGCGTCCCCCACTGTACGACCAGCACAGAGCCAGACGTACAACAAAATGCCAATCTGGGGGGCAATAACAGCATCAGTATCAGCGTCAGTATCAACACTAGCAGCAGCAGCAGCAGCTCTAGCAGTAGCGGCACCATGAAAGCAGCAGTAGCAGGAGAGTCATATAGTCCAATAGCCGAGCCAGGCAGGTTGGATCGGGAAGGGACCGAGGGACCGTAGAAAGGGTCACGAGCGGGAGCGCAGAAGAAAAATGGTGCGGTCCGACAGAGGGGGAGGACCAAAGAACGAGGAACATCGACGCAGGCAAGATCCAAACGAATCCCGTACAAGTTCTGAATCCAGAAAGCCCCTCCACACAACCCTCGACCCCAAACCCTTGCCCTGCAACCCCCTCCCCATCCTCCTTCCCCTCCCCTAACCCCGAACGCCTACTGGTCAGTTCTACGTCTGGTACACTCTTGCCCTGGCAGCACCTTCACTCGTTCGTGGTTCGTCTTTCCTCCCCTAACCCCGAACCACATTACCGTACCTGTACCAAGCTGACCCACATCACATAAGCCCCCAGAGACCTGCGGGACATACATACAGGCACACACGCACGTCCATTTCAACAAAAAACACGCACATGGACACATGCACGCTCATGTGAACGCACATACACACATACGCACGTGTATGAGCATCAGGCCCATACGATACTGAGAATCTAAAGTAAAAACTAATCAACACAACATCCAAATTGGGATTTGAGTTATATTTATGTCAATGCGGCAGAGGCAGGGAAGGCAAGATAGGGGCGCTGCTTGCGGGACGGCAACAGCAGCATCAAACAGTGAGTACGTCGTACCATTCCCGGTATGCCGTACCTCCATGCCTCAGCATCACGGAGGTCCACTTTGATCCCCTGAAGAAGCGCGACTCCCCCCCGGCGTGGACGCGGAGGAGTGGACGTGTGTGGAGAGTACGGCAGCGATGACGCGGCGATGGTGATGGTGATGAAGATGAACATGATGACGACGGAGTCATGAAGGGCGCCCACATGGGTGTATATGTGAGTGTGTATATGTGAGTGTGTATATGTGAGTGTGTATATGTGAGTGTGTATATGAGTGTGTATATGAGTGTGTATATGTGAGTGTGTATATGTGAGTGTATAAGCGAGACCAATGATAAACCAGTGGAAAGAGCGCTTTTCCTCCGCCAGCCCGCCAGTCACCTCATCATACGGTCAGCCGCCAGCCGCCGCAACTCCCCTCTCTCTCAAGCTCCCAACCAGACTCCCGCAGCCCTCCAGCCCCCCAGATCATACAGACTTACCAGCAGGTAGATGTTCAGCATGGGGAAGGCCACCCTCAGCAGCAGCACGTTAATCTGGCCCATGAATTGATCCGCGGTCAGCAGACCGAAGCGGGCAAAGCACCAGCCGCTGAACACGATCAATACAATCTGGACGCCTGAAGACGGAAAGGAGAGGAGAGAGGGCGGGAGGGCTCGCGCGCGCGTGGGGTTGCGTTGGGAGGTTTAGGACTGGGGAGGAGATGTGTGCATTACGCGGAGGTTGAGTCATGGCGGACGTGGATGTCTTGGAAAAGTTGAGTTCTGTGCTCCTGTCTCCCTTAAAACCGTATTTTCATGGCTCATGGCCGACTTTGACGTGCTTGATGACCGTGCTTGGAATGGTAAGAGACGGGAAGCGGGGAGACCAGCTGCCAAGGGCCCTTACACTGCAGAAACTGTCAGCTACGAGCTGAAGCTCTACTGGGTGAAAGGCAGAATGCCTGTAACGAAGGAGCTGAAGCGTGATATACTCGCCACTCAATTACGGTTGTACGACAGTCGCACAGAACCAGACTTAGAGACTCTGACCGCTTCGCTCCGTCGCATCTAAGTCAACAAGTAGTTGCGAGCGCCAGACAATCGAGGAGAATGAGCGGCCGCTGAAACCGGCATGTGCATATGACTGCGTGTGGATTGCATGGCAGTGAATTTCGGACCGGATTTTGGGCCGCATCTGTGACAGCTGGATGGCCCGGCAAATAGATAGCAGGGCTGTGTATGTAGAAGTATGCTTGATTGGTTAGGAAAGCTGTTAAGCAGAGAGTAGGGACAAATAGGACCTAACGGAGCGAATCGAATGCTGTGTTGCATATATGCGCTTGGTTGCTGCAGAAGCTAATATGAGGCGCGGGAATGTCTTTACTGCGTGCAAGGAGCAGATACCGTTGAGTTGGATCCAGGTAACCTCGGGGAGGCTTGCGTAACCCTGACGATGACCACTTCGATTGTTGACACTCACACGGTCTCCCAAACCCCTGCCAGCTCAAATTGCGCCTCACCGACGTTCAGGACGCCCTGGAAAGCCCACGCGCCCATCGCAGGCTAGCTGCCTTCCGGCTCGCCACAAACAGTTCGAGATAGGGTCGTTTCTTCCTTTGTGCAATTACTGAGTCTAGCTCAATCCTCCTGACATAGGTTAACAAGTCACAGCCTCGCAATACTCCGTCCATAACCAGCGCTGAACCCCGAATTATAACGATGTCACGGCGTTGCCGGCGTGGCAGTATTCGAATGTCTTTTCTTACATGGTATAATTCAAAGGAACTCTCGAACACGTTGCAAAGCTTACATAAGCTACTGTGTAACCAGAGCCATGATACTCCGTGGACGCATTACAAATGGGGGCCCTACGTGTAACACGGACTTGCGCATACCCCACGATTAGCCCTACGAAATAGTACAGAATTCCTACCTATAACTGGAGCGGTTTTTTGACCTAAACCCGTAATAACACACCTTCTTGAGAGCGAACGCGGTAGCTGAGTTCGTCGCAGGCACCCATCGTTCGTTGAGCATAGACACCGAATAATGGCCGAAGAGACACAGGTCCTAGTCAAGTTCATAACAAAGCTTCCGGCGCACCTCAAAGTCCCAGAGACGCCGGTGGTAAGCAGCGACGGCGCGGGAACGCTACCATCGCCCGGACGCCTGCTCATTTATCTTCTTTCCCCAACACTCTCATCACATATAGCCATTCCAACACAATTCTTATCATCTAACAGATCGAGTTGCTGACCCTAACCACACCTTGACCGCTCCGTAGCCGCCGCAACACTATGGAGCTCCGAAACCGCTTGGACCCACATCGCCATACATCCAGCTCGTACCTCCCTATGCCTTGCTTGATCCTGCTGGGCTTTTTATGCCCCCCCTTCCACATCTCCTTTTTCCCCCTTTCTCCCCCGGCCCAGTCCAACCACAATTTCCCTCGTTGCCGCGCCTTCGCGGCGCACGCAGGCCGTCCCGGCCAGCTTGAAGCGCTATGGTCTCTCCCAGATTATCAACCATTTGCTCGCTCTGGGTGAGACACCTCCGCTGCTACACATCCGTACTGCTTAGTTCCCTATCCGTACACCTGTACGGAGACTCCCGACCACCTGCCCAATACTGTAAATCGCTATGGATGGATTGCGAGTGCGGAAAAGAACTGAGATACATGCTTATCAATCTGTTACAGGACAACTGGAGGTCACAGATCTGAAAGGGGGGGATAATGTGGGATAATGCCACACCCCATCTTCCCTATCACCTTGAGGGGTGTGTGAGTGGGTGTATGCGTATGCGTATGCGTGTGTATGTGGGGGGGGCCCCCGCCGATTGGGGCGGAAATCGGCATCAGCTAACCTAAGTCCCTCTTATCACCCATCTTATCCTTTTTGCTGCCTCCCTCTTTCCCTGGGGGAGCTGCTGCAGCTTGTACTGTTTATTTCTGTGTTTTTGTGCGTGTGTGCACGTTTCTGTATGTATGTATGTCCTCCACGATTCTCCATCACGGCTTCCAGCGGCGATGCCACCCCACGGGCGCCGCCGCGTTCAGTCGTGCCTCACGGGTGTTTGGGTTTTTTGTCTCCCTAACCCCCGCTTGTGTTCTCCCCCACCCCCCGCTTGCTTCACGCACTAGTGGTTCGTCTTACACCCCGCTTGCTTGACTTTGAATTTGAATTTGATTCCCCCTTCCCCCCGTTCCATTTCACCCCCCGCTTCCCACACCACTGCAAACCCCCACCCCCCACCTTCCCCCCGCCGCATCCAGACCCCCCGCGTCCGTTTGACTTCCTGGCTGATGGCGAGCTAATCCGCAAGTCCTTAGAGCAACACCTGCTCAGCCACAGCCTCTCCGCGGTACGGCATAGGGCCTGGGCGCGTCAGGGTTGTGAAGGGAGGTCTCGCGAGATTGGAAGCTATATTGGAGATCCGGTTTCGCCTGTCTGTTACCCTGTTCACCTACATATCTGTCTGTCTGTCTGTACGTCTGTCTGTCTGTCTGTAACCCTGCAGGAAAGCACGTTGGAAGTGGAGTACGTACCCGCTGTGGTTCCCCCCCAACAGAAGAGCTCCAAACCCCTGGATGACTGGTGGGTGCGCTGGGGGAGGGGGGAGGGGTAGTTAGTGTGGCTGGCGGGGGCCGGGAGTTAGGGTGACGTGTCATTAGCGACCCCTAGTCGGATTTGAGCCACCACCACCACCACCGCCACCACTTCCACTACCACACACCGCACATACCACGACTCATCCCCCACCCCACCCCATCCCATCCCATACACACATGCATACCTAGTTTCGCTAAGAGCCCCGCCACCTCCGGCCCGACCGCTCCCACCGACTCCAACCTCGGCCCCATCGCTCCAACTTCACCCCCACCAACACCACCAACCCGCCCCCACCAAACCCACCAAACCCCCGCCCCCCGGCCCCCCCCCCCAGGGTGAGCTCCGTAGACGCGACCCGGGCGGCCTCCTCCCTGTCCGCCTCCCCCTCCTCCTCTTCCGGACCCATTGCCTCGGGCAGCTATGATGGACTGCTCAGGTTGTGGAGCGGTGCGTTGCTTGGGGAAGGGAGGGAGGGGAGGGAGGGGAAGGAGGGAGGGGAAGGAGGGAGGGGAAGGGAGGAAGAGGGGAGGGAGGGGTAGGGGAGGGAGGGTTAGGGGGGAGGGAAGGGCGGGTTTTACATCCCTGCACCTAGCACCCTAAGAACCCCCACGTACCCACGCGTGCCTATACACACCCACACACACCCAAACGCATGCAGGCGATTTGCAGTGTACGGCAACGGTTTCGGCGCATGAGGGGGGCGTCAACTGTGTGCGCTTCCTGCCGCAATCCCAGGTGGGAATGGGCGGATGGGGGGTTGCGTGTGTGTATGTATGTATGTGTACGGGTGTGTAACGTAAAAGCCGATGGCCCGGGGAGGGGGGGAAGGGACAAGGAGGGGAAATGCGGGACTATTTCCGGACAGCGGCCCCGAAGCCTTTTCAGGCACGTGTATGCGTGTGTGTATATGCGTCGTCGCAGGTGTGTGTGCGCGTGTGTGTGCGTGTGTGTGCGTGAGAGTAGAGGGGAAGGGGCTGATGCTTGGGAGCGTTACGTGGATACAGCGCCACTTAATTGCGTCTGTTTACATTTGTATGTCTGTATGTGCTCCTGTAAACTACTTAGGGTTTTTGTATGTAACTGGGACGCACATTTGTATGTGAAGTGGCCATATCTGCGCGGAAGGTCTTCGCACCGCAAGAAAGGGACCTTCCCTTTGACAACCACCACCACCACCACTCGCCAACCACCAGTTCGTTATAGTCAGACCATGCACCGTACATGCACCGAGCCACACGACCTGTGGGTCCACATACACCTAACCCGGGAACTATTGCCCCCCAACTCACCCCCTCACCCCGCAAATACCCACGTGTCGTACTCAATCCCTTCCCCCCTGCAGGGTGATTTATTGCTGACGTCAGGCAAGGACCGTACGATCAAGATGTGGCGTGTGGTAGGTTGGGGGGGAGCAGGGGGCGATGGAAGCGGGGCTCCGGTGGTAAAACACACCTACACATACACAAACGGTCAATTAGGTTGGTGGCGTGGTGTGGTGATAGAAGATGATGGCCCCGCTGTATGGCTGTGTGGCTGTGGCTGTGTGTTTATGGGGGGAGAGCAAGGGGGTTCTGCAAGGGGGTAACGGAGGGGATATCAGCTGCACGCTGAGCCCCCGTGAGAGATGTAGCACCCACCATCACAATCACCCATCACCGTCACCATCACCGTCACTGTCACCATCACCGTCACCACCCGAAGGCGGGCGCTGCCACCAGACCTTAAGGCAGTGGGGAAGAAGGCGCCTGAAGGGGATTCGTCCGGGTGGGGGAGATACGGGAACACGTGCGCGAGAAAGTACGACAGAGGCACCTCGCGCAGATGTTCCGAACCCCTACCGCTAGTCATACCACCAGACTAACGCGAACGTTACATCACCACACTGACCCATGGGTCGCAACAGGACGGCGCCGGCGGCGCATCCCCCCAGTGCCAGCTGCTCGCCAAGTACCGCGGCCACCATGACGGGGTGGAGCACGTGGCGGCTAGCCCCAGTGGTCGCCGCTTTGTCAGCTGCGGGTGGGACGGAAAGCTGATGGTATGGGAGTCAGGTACGCGCGCGTGTGCGGCGTGTGTGGGGTGCGCGTGTGTGTTTTTGCCTGCGCTTACTACTGTGCAGTGAATTGGGAGAGCTGCGAGAGGAGAAAACGGTGATGTGTATGTGAATGGGGGTCGGGGGAGATCACATGCAAAGTGCACGGAAAAAGGAATGGCGATATCCAAAGTGTGCACGGCGGGGCGGGGGGAGGAGTGGGACGCCGCGGGGGTGTGTGTGGCACGAAGGGCACGAAGGGGAAAGGTGCACTGCGGGAGGAGTGTCAAGGAACGCCAAGAAGTGGGGAGGGGAGGGGAGGTGTTTGTGAGTGACAGACGGACGGACATACAGACAGACAGACGGAAAGGCAGGAAGCTAGGCATGAACGCTCTCTCCTAACCGTTAACCAACGTGGTACACATATCCCCTCTCGCATGGTTGATGGACTGGCTCCCACATTATAACTAACTGCCCAACTGAATTCAGTCCAGCCTAACTGATTTTTACGTCACCCGTACTGCTGATCTGGCGGCGCCAGGGCGATCGGTGGCAGCGGCGGCGGCGGCGGCGGCAGCGGAGGCCGGTGCCGCGGACGCGGCTGACGGGTCCAAGAAGAAGCGCCGTGTCAACGCCGCCGCCAACGGCCATGCGGGCAACGTCTTAACTGCTGCCGCCGCTGCAGCGGGGGGCAGCGGGGGCCTTACGGTGACGGAGGCGAGTACGGAGCTGCTGGGCCACCTGCACTGCGTGTCGGCAGTTAGTTGGCCGTTGGAGGAGTCGTTGTACAGCGGCGGTTGGGACCATTCGGTGAGTTAACGGTTAAATGTGCGACCGCATACGGTAGGGCTAGGCTGGTAGGCAGTCCTACGTGTCGGGAGGGAGGGATATGTTCGGTAGGTGGTAGGTTCCCATCATTCTCATGATTCTCATCATCATCATTACCATCACCGGCCTTCCGCCGGATATCATTGTAGTTAAACTACTAAGATAATCCTTCGTGATCACCCCCCAAATCACTCCTTTTGGGGGGTGGTTTCTGGGGATGTAGTTTTAACTACCAAAATCGCGTAACCAATATGGTAGGTAAAAGGGGGTAACCAAGGCTAACAAAGCCTCCCTTTTACGTAGTATTATATATTAACATCACCATTAATTTCGCCGTCATATTTAAAAGAGATGTTGTTTGTGTAACTGCAGCTATCCGTAACATAGTAGTACATTGTCATTGACGAAGAGGTGTACGGCTGGTGCAGGTACGGCGTTGGGATGTGGCCGCCGGCGTCGCAGTGGACACCTACAACGGCTCTAAGACGGTCCTCTGTCTGGCGACCCACGGGTCATCCCCCCACCTCGTCGCCTTCGGCTGCTCTGACCGCGCCGTAAGGTTGTGGGATACCCGCGGACGGCCTGGCTCCGAAACCATGGCCGTCACGACCCATGGGTCACATGGCAACTGGGTTTCGGCCGTGGCCTGGTGCCCATCTAGTCAGCACCACTTGGCTACCGCCGGCTACGATGGGGCGGTGAAGTTGTGGGATCTTAGGACGCAGGTGCCGTTGGGGAGTTTGAGGGGGCACACTGACTGCAGGGTTTTGTGTGTGAGCTGGATGGGTGGGTCGGCGGCTGGCGGGGAGGCTGCGGTACGGGGTCTGGTGAGTGGTGGGACGGACTGCCAGTTGCGGCTTTACGAGAATGAGGGGGGTGTTGGTGGCGTGTTGGCGGGACTGTGAGAGGGAGAGAGAGAGAGGGGGGGATGTCCAACTGTGTATGTATGTCTGCTCTGCGTTTGTGTGGTGTGTCTGTGTGGTGTGTCGTATGTATGTCGTTAGTGCGTGTGGGGGAGTGTGTGCGCACGGAGTCGCGAGAAGCGGGACTGGACAGCAGCTAGATGAGCTTGCGGGTGAACCCACGCGTGAGTGTCTGAATGTATATATGATCGTGTGCGTGTGTGCGATCTGAAACCGGGCCGAAACGGGCATGTGCGATGTGTGTGTGTATGTGTGTGTGTGTGTGTGTCTCAAACTGTTAGACTGGACGACGATTTACAGTGTCGCACCTTGTCTGACCGGGTTCGCTGACTGGTTCCAGGTCGTGTGTGTGGTGCAGAACACAAGGTCGTGGTGGGTATTCTGGTGCGGAAGTGCGTCTGTGCTCTGTTGAACGGTGAGCGGTAGTAGCTCCCGTTCTCTACGCTGATGCGTGCGTGCGCATGTGCGTGCGTGCGTGCATGCGTAAGGAAAGAAACCGTATACGGTGAATGGGCGTTATGTTTTGTTCTTTGCGGTCGGCCAAAAGGGGAAAGTTCGTATGTAGGGCATCGTGCAGAGCCGCTCTCTGCTTGGTGGGTGACTACCAGAGCTTTTGTCTTTCGGTGCGCGCGCAATTATGGTGGTGCTGGAGTTGTCAGCGCCGCGGGATGGCGTTCCCTTAGGTTCGGAAGCAAGGGCACGGAGTCTGAACTGTAACCACTTTGATGAAAATTGTGGCCCTTTATGGTGCTTTGAGCACAGCTGATGGCAGGCGCAAAGAATGGATTCATGCCAAGCGAAGTGTGGCGGTTGACTGATAAAAAGGTGAGCATAGAGTAGGTAAGGGGCCAAGCAGGAATAACTGTATTTACAAGCAATTATCATACATTGATGGTTGATCGCACATGATGAGGAATGGCGAGTCTCACAGCCTCCGAGTCTCGATATGAGGTAATGCTGCACGACATAGAAAAGAAAGAGCTTAGGCCTGCGCTGACGTGCCTAAGCTAGCAAAAGCTGTTAGACGTATCATCTTAGTACATACGCCAATTGTAGCTTGGAAGTGCTAGGGCTGCTTCCTTACCCACACAGATCGGTTCCCATCTGCGTGTCTTATCTTGCCCATTTTTTCATTTGTTGGATCAGTAGCATTAAGTTAAGTGTAGGATTTTGACCTTGTGTATCTATTACGCTTTCGGACACCCTTGCTTAAATTTCGCGTACACTTGGATAGAAGGGCACTCGCAAAAACTCTGCTCCCGCTTTAGTTGACCGCCATGGCTTCTGAGGCGGAGAAGCGGGAAGCTGCAGTTGCAGATTACCGCAAAAAGCTGCTCAAGCATAAGGAGATCGATACAAAGGTCCGAGCTTTGCGTGAGTCGGTCAAGGAGCTTAAGAAAGAGTACGAGAAGACGGAGGATGACCTCAAAGCGCTGCAAAGTGTTGGGCAAATCATCGGCGAGGTGCTCCGCCAGCTCGATGCCGAGCGCTGTAAGTTCCCGGGCGAATCGTCAACCCGCTCTCAGCGCCGTCCGTCTCGTATTGAATCCGTTGATCACATCCCTTCCCTCACCTCCCATTACTATTAACGCATCTTCCCCCTGATACGTCCCTTTCCCCTGAGGAGGAAGACCTCGCCGCTGCGGTGTTGCGCCAACGGCTATTCTGCGCACCTGCCGCTCACTCTCTCCATCTCTCCATTCCCTTTCATATCCCCCTCTCGCCATAATCTTCTCCCGTGCTACCCGCGCATCCTTGGATGTAATCCATTCCCCCGCCACCACCTCCCTGCTGGTTCTCCGGTTGTGTCGGCAGTGTTGACCGTTTGCTGCCTCATGCATTTATCATCACCATTAACGTAACCAAGAAGCACACTACCTCACCACCATTACCACCTGATTGCCTCAAATTGCCAACCCAACTGATTACCCGTCCAACTTACCGCTGTTCCCTCACCCAGACATTGTCAAGGCCAGCAGTGGTCCCCGCTACGTGGTGGGTGTGCGCACCAAGGTGGACAAGACCAAGCTGGTGAGCGGTACCCGCGTGTCGCTGGACATGACCACACTCACCATCATGAGGATGCTTCCACGGGAGGTGCGGGGGAATGGAGAGGGGGGAAGGGGTGTGTGTGAGAGTTCGGGACTCTCGCCTGGGGTGTGTGCGGATAGGGGGGAAAGGGGGAAGGGGTTTTCAGACGTCAGGAGGGTTTCCAGGGACGAGTACGTCCTCAGTACGCGTGGGCGCGTGGGGAAGGGCCGTGCATGTGTATGTGTGTATGTATGTATGTCAAGGGGAGGAGGAAAACGGGGGATGAGCTGGCAGGTCGAATGGTGTTTGCTTTGTTTGGTGTTAAGAGGGAGGGAGGAAGGGGGAGATCCGTTCGACAATAAAACATGCGTGCTTCTTCCCTCCCTCGCTCCCTCACTTTTTGCATATGATTCCCTCTCCTCCCATCGCGTCGCCTCCCGGTGTGTGTAAATGTGCATGTATGTATGTGCATTTTATGTATGTGCATTTTATGTATGTGCATGCATGCATGTATGTATCTATGTATGTGTTCATCTATGTATGTATGTATGCATGTACGTATGTATATCTGTGTGTGCAGGTGGACCCTGTTGTGTTCAACATGCTCCAGGAGGACCCCGGCAAGGTGGACTACTCGTCCATCGGGGGGCTGTCGGAGCAGATCCGGGAGCTGCGCGAGTCCGTAGAGCTGCCGCTCATGAACCCGGAGCTGTTCCTGAGGGTGGGGATAAAGCCGCCCAAGGGCGTGCTGCTGTACGGACCCCCCGGTGAGAACAGGATTCCCCCGCACCCGAGTGGGGGGGGAGGCGGGGCCCCGGAGGCACAGGATGGCCCATATGGGGGGCGAGAGGGAGAGGATGAGGGGAGCCGATTGGTGGGGAGATGTGGGAGGGGGGTTATTGGAGGCGGGCGGGAGGACGGGTCTAAGATATGACTGAGGTGTGGGATAATATTATAATAATAATGATGTATAAAAATATATAATAATAATATAAAAGGATATATAATAATAAGGGGGATGCTTGGGTGAGCTTGATTCGTGCGGTTTAGCCTTGAGTTGGGGAGGGGGGTGGTCGGTGAGTGGGTGGCGGGTTTTCACCGGGGCAGGCCGGCGTTTTTCCCCACCTCACAGCACACAGCGCGCAGCTTTGTCTTGAAACTGTGCGCGCAGTCGGCGTTCATCTGACTGACTGAATCACACGGCTCGCTTTCGCGTGTTGCTTTGTTGCCCCCTTCCCCAATTCACCTCTTTGCTCCGCTTCCCTGTCTGTCTGTCTGTCTGTCGTGTTCTGTTCTGTTCTGTCATCCCGCCCGGGTATACATACATATTACTTGCGTGCTTGCGTATATACTTACGTACTTACATACATACACGCGCACTTACATACATGCATGCACAGGTACCGGCAAGACGCTACTGGCTCGCGCCATCGCTTCAAACATCGATGCGAACTTCCTCAAAGTGAGTGTGGTCGTGTGTACGGACAGGCGTTCAGTCGTATATCTGTTTGTATGTATACTTTTGTGTATGATTATTAAAAGGAGCAGAACTACTCACTGTCCGGACAATGCGTCCGCCCGCACTCGACCTTTCACTCCCGCATTTTTGCTTAGGAATCCGCCCTCCGAAGCCGCCCCCTCCGAAGCCGCCCCCTCCGCCGCTGCCCCCTCCGAAGCCCCCTCCGAAGCCGCCCCCTCCGCCGCTGCCCCCTCCGCCGCCCCACTTACCCTCCCCCGTGACCTCATCACGTTGCCCCACCACCCCAGGACAGAACCTCACGGTGATTACCACCTACCACCCTCAGGGTATGACCCCCCCCTTTACCACACACATACACACACATACATACACATACATACATACACACACCTCA